TTTTACATATGAAATTAAAAATGTATGTTGGGAAGGAACGATTTCTTGCAATAACCCAAACGAGTCCTTTAACCAATTTTCCACAATATTCACAGCTAGTTATGATAAACATTTTCCAATTAAAAGAATGAAAGTAAATAAGAAGATTAACAAGTACAAAAGCCCCTGGATGACAAAGTGTGTTTTAAAGTCAATCAAAAGGAAAAATAAATTATACACTAAATACTTATCAGATCCAAATAAAATAAATGAGAATTTGTATAAAAAATATAAAAATCGATTAAATCATGTAATTAGATTGTCCAAAAAGAAATATTATGAACAAGAACTAATTACATATAAACATGATTCAAAACTGATGTGGAAAACAATAAATGAGATACTAAGTAGAAAAACAAATAAAAAAGAACTTCCAAAAGAATTTACTGATATGAATACAACAAATACTATTAAAGATCAGTTTGAAATTGCAAATAAATTTAATAACTACTTCGTCAATATAGGACCTAACCTAGCAAAGAAAATTACAAATACATTCAAAACAAATTTTAGCAAATATCTGACTCATAATTATCTAAACAGCATGTTTCTTGATCCGATAACAGAATTTGAGGTACAAAGTGAAATAAACAATTTGAACTCGAATAAAAGCCCAGGGTATGATGATCTGAGTGCTAGAACGATTACACAAGTAAGTAAGGAAGTATCAAAACCACTTGCACATATATTTAATCTGACATTTACTACAGGTATTATTCCCGAACAGATTAAAACTTCCCTGGTAACACCAGTATTTAAATCAAATGAAGAAAATAAATTTGAAAACTATAGACCAATATCAGTTCTAACTTGTTTCGCTAAAATACTTGAAAAATAAATGTACAAACGACTAATAAATATATATAATATTTTATCTGCATGACCATCAATATGGATTCAGAAAAAACAGATCAACTGAACTTGCAATAATCGAACTTGTTAATAAAATTACAAAATAAATCGATCACGGAAAATACACCATAGGTATTTTCTTAGATTTGTCAAAAGCATTTGACACCATTGATCACAAGATTCTGATCAGTAAATTAGAATATTACGGAATTCGTGGCATAGCAAGACTTTGGTTTGAAAATTATCTTACAAACAGGAAACAAATTGTAAAATATAAACAAATAATGTCAAACGAAATGATAGTACAAACTGGGGTCCCGCAAGGTTCAATATTGGGTCCGCTACTTTTTATCCTCTATATAAACGATATTCAAAACTGTAGTGATATAGCATCAATGCTATTGTTTGCTGATGATACAAATATATTTTACAGTCACTCATGCCTCAAAACACTAAATGAAACTCTTCAGACAGAAGTGGACAAAATAGCCGAATGGCTAAACACAAACAAACTATCTATCAACACATCAAAAACCAAATTTATTTTATTTCGATCCTCAAAAAAGAAAAAGAAACACGTAGTAAAGTTGTTCATCAATAACGACGATATCAAACAAGTCAAAAGTACAACCTTTTTAGGAGTAGTTATTGATGAATGTTTATCATGGAACGATCATATCGATTCCGTTGCAAAGAAAATTATGAAATCTGCAGGAATTATTGCAAAAATTCGTCATTTTACAAATTTGAATACTTTAAAACTAATATACTATGCTTTAGTCTATCCATATCTAATCTATGGCAATCTAATATGGAGTAACACATACAAAACAAGAATTCAAAAGTTAACAAATGTTCAAAAGAAAATAATTCGTCTTATGACATTTCAATCCAATTTTTCTCACACTGAAAAAATATTTATTGACCTACAGATCTTGAATCTCAGTAAGTTAAATAACTACCTTACAAGTCTTTTCATGTTCCGATATCATCATTTAAAGAACTTGCCAATAACTTTCACAAACTTTTTTATTTCAAATAACCAAATTCACCAATACAACACTCGAAACTCAACTAAACTTCATAAGTCTTATCAGAGAAGTAACTACGTCAAGCACTCGCTTTCAGTGAAAGGGGTGGACGTTTGGAATAATCTTGACAGTAATTTAAAAATAATAACATCACGTCCCATTTTTAAGAAAAAATCCAAAATACACTTTCTATGTAATTAATCTTATAAATCACTTTAACTGTAATTTCTCTTCATGTAAATAGATATTTAACTCAAGCTTCTCATTTTAATTATTAATAGTAAATAGTCTCCTACAAATATTGAATGTAACATAACCTCACTTTTTGTAAATACTTAGAACCGATGACAATTTAACTATATATATTAGCACCAAGACTTTAAACTAGGGGTCTAAATCAAAAGCCTGTTCAAGGTTTCTATAGACTCCTAGCCCAAATGTTTCTACTTTATTTTATTTACTTTTTATGTAACATAATGGTATATCACATGGGCAAATCATTAAAAAAAAAAAGAAAAGTTATGTGCCTTTATGAGTTTATAATCATTTCCCAAGTTTGTTTATACCAAATTCCTTACAAAAGAATTAAAAACTCTTGACAAAATGCAGTTGAAATATAAAGAAAGCGATTTTGCCATGCATATAATAAATAAATAATCACACGGGCAAGTCGTGCAATTAATGATTAACACTATTCGTGATATTTGAAAAATGTGCCAAATTGCACTCGCCTCGGCGGCTCGTGTAATTTTGGCACATTTTTCAAATATCACTCGTAGTGTTAATCATTAATTGCACTCCTTCCCGTGTGATTACCTATACTAATTACCAAGGTTTGGAATGAATCTAATCAGACTAATCTTTCATCTGAGTACAAGAATTGAAGTATATTTATAGTGTGAGATGCCCACTATGTGAAACTCGAACTGAGGGCTCTAAAGTAAGTGAAATTTATCTATATTTTACATTGTAGTTCATTGTTCAGTTCAAGAAGTGTATAAAGTGGAAAATGGGCTCCACAGTTAATGCAGATTTGTTTGTATTAACATAATAATTAAAGTTTGTGTCTATTTATAAATACTATTGCTTATACCAGCAGGGGGGGGGGATGAGGTAGTTTGACATTTTACAGTCTTTACCGAGTAAGAGAGGTTTGCTTGTCTGGAGGCAAACCAGTCCCAATACCAAACTTGACAGCTTGCTTTAGTGAGGCAAATTTCATCTCTGTTTACATGGGATTATAACCTGTGCCCAGACCTTCATTTTTCTCACAGCTGGCGGGCAAAGAAAAATGAAGACCTGATACACATGTTATTAAACGTTTGTGTCCTACAACTGCCTTTATGGTTGTAACTCTGATTGGCTATTTCTAGCATGAGTATTCATGCCATATTTAATGTATTTTTTTTTTATATTTTGGTTAATTAATGCTATATATAATTAAATAATTATAGATTTAGTAATTGTAACTATATTTAGCTTGTTGTTAAATTATGTGAAATTGACATTTCTCCTGGCACATTTTGAATGAGCTGGCATGCCTCATGACAAGAGTCTAATTTCTAATTGAGTTATTGGGCAATTACTGTACTGTACACTGGATATTTTGCAAACAAAGATGATTACCTGGGCTTGCTCGCCTACCATAGTTGAGTATATATGCTTTGTCTGTGCAAATATAATTTGATATAAGCTGTATATGTCATTCTCCTGACAGATTTTAATCTTAGAATGATAAAATGATGGACGGTATAAATACTGTATGTAATTGTAACTGGTGTATATAGAATATAATTATGAAATTTGCTCACAAAAGTGGGATAGTTTGGAAAATATATTTAATTAAATTATATATTTGTAGTGCTAATTGTCCCAATACTATATACCCTGAGGATTACCATTGATAAGTGTATGGATATATTTGACAAAGATGTGCATTTATATAATAACACAGGGAAAATATTCATCAATACTACTGTGCAGCCTTTCTACATTGACAACATCTTAAAATAATACTATATTAATATTAGTTGAAAGGCAGGCAAAAGGGGACAGATAGAAGACATGATTCAATTATGTCATGGTATATTGTTTATCATAATGTGTTCAGACTGATTTCAATATTCATATGTCATTTATTATGCGAAATACGAACGCGTACGGGGTCCCGGGATCCCGGGGAAAAGCCCCGAAGATTCCCGGATGAAAGTGTGCTCGAGAGACAAAAATATAGTTTTAGTGTGTTTTGGTTTGGAATATATTCATGTTTCTTTATAAAGTTTTGGTATTTTTCTTGGTTTAATGTTAATTATTGTTGCCCCAGTCGTTAGTTGGGATGGCCCTAAGCTGGTGGTAACATTAAATGGTCCTTCTACGTCGGATTGAATTGGTATAGTGGAATTATTTGTATGATATAAATATGTCTGTTCATGGTTCTGAAGCAAATCGTGGGGTTGAAAGTGAATTTGGTAGCGTTTCGTTGGAAGAAACACGTATTCGAAGTAAAAGATCGGTAGTTAAGAGGAGAATAACTACAACTTTACGTAAATTGGAGGGACTTGTGGCGAAATTTGGTAGCAAAACAATAATAAAAGGGTATGTGAATAATTTATCTGAATATTTAAAAGAAGCTGAGGCACTTAATACTCAACTTCTCACTCTGGTACATGAAAGTGAGCATGAAGCTGTTTTAATTTGGTATGAAGAACAGTTAGAAAGAGTCAATGATGCCAAATTAGAGGCTGAAAGTCATCTTGAGGGGCGCTTACATGAAGTATCCTCAGTCGCAGGAACATTTCCTGGCATGCAAGAAAGTGCGCAAATACCGAATTTAATTAGCTCAAAATCTGTAATGACATGTAGTTCAAAATCAAGTGGAAAAGGAGCTGAAGTTCGTGCGAAAGCCTTTGCCGCAGAGTTAAAAGCTAAACAATTAATGGAAGAAGAAGAGAAAAGAAAACAAGAGTTGGAAAAACAATTAGAACTTGAAAAAATGTAGCTATGGCTAAAGAAATAGCTGAAAGAGCAAAACTCGAGGCTGAAGAAAGACGAAAGGTCCAGCAAGCGAAGGATGAATGGATGCGTCTAAGGGCGGAAGCAGAGATCCTGGAAAGTGAAGAGGACAACCCAGAAAGTTTGTCAAACAGACTACGTGACTTTGAAAATGAGTCAAATGATAAAGAACAACCTCCAACAGTAAATCAACAAAGTCCTCTGAGGAACATAACAGAAAAATCAGCACGAGTGAAAATTCCTGAAAACACTACTATTAAGGGAACATTAAACAGTCAAGTTGGTCAGAAACTTCCCAGTGCAAATAGTGTACCAAGTATATATGTTCAACCCAGCTCTAATAATCTGCCAAGATTAAAATTAACCACTTTTGATGGGGACTCTCTTAAGTGGCCTGATTGGTCTTCTATGTTCAAATCAATGGTTGGTGATGCAAACATATCCCTAAATGCCAAAATGCAACATTTACAGAACTCAGTTACGGGTAAAGCTAAGACTTCAATCGAGGGGTATGGCTATAGTGGTGATTCATATAACAAAGCAATGTCTGAGCTGGAATCCAGATTTGGTAAACCATCATTAGTCATCAAAGCCACTCTTGGTAAGTTGAGAACCTTCAATCGCTTACAAGATAATGATCCAGAAAGTGTTCGAAGCTACTCTGATGTTGTGTCAACTACTGTATGGACGCTGTCAAGATTTGGTTATGTGAGTGATCTTAATGCGGAAGCAAACCTGTCGTTGGCTACATACAAGTTATCAAATGAACTGCTACAAAAATGGAAAGAACATGTCAAGGATGGCAAACTAGACCGTCCAAACTTGAGCCATTTTTCAGTTTGGCTCAAAGGGCAAGCTGATATTTATGATGAGTGTGCAAGGTCATCAAAGAAGAATTTCAAGAGCAAATACCAAAAGCAGTATGGCCATAGATATCTCATATACACTAGATAGCGCATCCCACCCTGTAGGCAGGCGAAAATTGAAGCCTGATCGCAGTTGCAGTTTACGTGCGGCGGCCATATTGGTCGTTCCCACCGAGCGTGATAATTTGTATATTTTGTATTGCGGAAATGAACAAAGTTGACAATAAATCCTCTTTTATGCAGTCAATTTTGGTTTTTCAAGTGTGCAACTTGTTGTAAATGATGCCAGATCGTTGGAGCTTCATATTGTGAATAACGGGTAGGCAGAATTTAATTTTTTTTTTCGAAAATATCAATATTTGTCGACCCGTATGAAGGGCGCCCATAGGACAAACCTTATGGACAAACCATCATTGTTGATGTATATATAAATATAGTTCCACCAATTCCAAATAAAACATTTTGAGCCATCGCCATTGCTTCATGGCAAAATTGTGAATGTATTTGCATATTCTTTTGTAAAAGACAGCGACACTGAAAAACATATTTTAGTCACAGTTTATCAATGGCAAAAATAGACTTTAATTATAAAATCTTAAATAGTCAATATATAAAACATTGATACCAAAAATGGTTCTTACTCCTTACTATTTATATATTTATTACATACATACAACATATCATATATTATTTTATAGTTCCATGGAATCATATCAAGATTAAAATGTGTTAGAAGCTAGAGAAGAATAATTGCAACTTAGTATATTCGCAGGCAATATAACATAATTGATATTGCTTTATGTAAATGTAGTTGATAATCAAACTTTCTAAAACCTTCAATTCTATGAATGCTTCAAACTATCTTTAATATTTGATGTTAAGAAATATTTCTTTCTGTTGAGTCCTAGACCTTTTGTTTTTAATTCAAGCAATCAAACTGCTAAATTACTGTAATTATTAACAGCATAGGCCATTGATAATCAGCTGAATTTTAGAACTGCTTTGGGAAACCCTATTTTGTAATGAGACATTACTTCTTGCATTATTGTATATTGTATATTGTAAGGTCAATGGGATAAACTGCTTGATGCACAGTAGATTTTATAATCTTAAATATAGTTGCACTCACTATTGTATAAATAATTCTATTGTTATAATAAAGTATTACTTTTGACTTTGTGTAATAGTGTTTTCTAATTCTTTGACTCTTCAGATGCACAATAATTAAACTTTTCTAAAAAAATAAAATAAAATTGCCAGTACTCTCAGGAATTGAAAACATGATAAACTCTCAATTTTTGCCTTTTGAGTTTAGTGGTTACTGTAAATATCATTAAAAAATGTCCAATTTAAAAAAAAAATTGGAGACCTGAAGAAGTTTTGGTGCCAATTGAAATTAAAAATTTGAATTAAACTCAGAAAATTTCATAGCAATGGGTAAAGTCATTCCTGATGCAAAAAGTATAAGAAGTAATAGTGAAGGGTCAAGTGACAGAATCAAAAATCAAAAGAAAACTTCCCAGGACATTTCATCAGTAAGCAATTTATTTTTAGTTTTTTACAGTATACTATTATATTGATTGAAATTAGACTTGCATTAACATGATAAACATCCCTAAGGATGAAGTACTATGAAAACAGTTGATACAAAATGTTCATCAAGAAAAGTGGTCACCCAAAAAGCAGATGTTTATATGTTCTGACCACTTTTGTTCTGGTTGCATTGTCCATACTGTTCTGTTCTCAGAAAGCAGACACTTATATGTTCTGACCACTTCTGTTCTGGCTTCATTGTTCATTGTCCATATGTTCTGGCTTCATTGTCCATACACAATCTTTTTACTGAGCTAGATCACCAAATTTTTGACTCACCAGTTGGTGAAAATCATGTTATATTTCAGTTGACCAAGAGCATCATCAAGAGTTAGTGTGAGGTTAAATTTTACCATCTTGGAAAAAAGACCACTGAGAATTCATCTGGACAAAAAATTAGAAAGAAATTAAATAAACTTGTACCTTTTAAGCACCAGTGTGAGTGATTACACAAAATGTATCAGAGAAAGCTAAATATTACTAAAATTTACTATGAAACTGCCCAAGCTGAAAGTGCAGACTCTGTCTCAAACGTTTCACTAAAGATTTATAGTGAAAAATACCCAAGCTGAAAGTGCAGACTCAGACTGTCTCAAACATTTCACTAAAGATTTACAGTGAAAACTGCCCAAACTGAAAGTGCAGACTCTGTTTTTTTACAGTATAAACTGCCTACGCCGATAGTCGAAACGTTACTTACCAACTTCCATTTCCATAAAGTGGTGCCAGAAATCGTAAGTACATGTATTGATTAGACGATACTTCACCAGAGAATCACTCACAGATTGGGCTATTACATTAAAAAACCAAACCCCCCCTGTCGAGGACCTCTGCTTTTGGGGACTTTTACCCCTCTGGAATGCAAGAAAATCTGTGTAATTGACCCCTCTGGAAGAGACTTGAACCCCCTCTGGAAGTGCATTTTTGCTTTTTAACCCCTCTGGAAAGAGCATTTTTCTTCCATTTTTCCCAATTACCCCTCTGGAAAAAATGACTAATTTCCCCCTTGGAAAATGAGGTCCTCGACAGGGGGGGTACGGATATTAAATGTAATAGCCCATTCAAAACAAGTATATAAAGCCAATGTCGTAATTCGAAATTTTTAGCTTTAAAATGCGATTCAAAGACAACAACATCGCCAATTAATGTTTTTTTCTTGTACCCTTTTCCAAAAAAGCTGCGATTTCAAGGCGAACGTACCTCAAAACGGTATTTTTAATCCAGAAATGCAAAAAAGCCTCGAAAAGTATAGTATTTTCTATAGCATTTCATTGATGAGTGGGAACGACCAATATGGCCGCCGCCTATTTTCATGGGGGAAACCGCTGAGATTTTTGGCTTCAGTTTTGTATTCCGAGATGCGCTATCTAGTGTATATGAGATATCTATGATCTGTCCATTGTATAATTTATGCATGATATCTTGAATTCGTTCACTGACGGATGCATGTACAGTCTCTGAGTGCTCTCTACAGGGTGTATTAAAAAAAGTAAGACAATTTTGAAATTGCTCTCAATTCCACAATTCTGTTCATGAAATGTAATTTTTGCTATATATGGATTGCTTGAGTTCTTAAATTATGGAAAATATAAAAAATTTTGAAAATAGTAAATTTT